CGATTTGCCTAATAAGCCAAGTTTTCATGAATTAATTGGTTTTCGACTACCTAACCTACCTAACCTAACCTAACTTTTTCTGCTACCTAACCTAACCTAACCTATAAAGATAGGTTAGGTTAGGTTAGGTAGGGTTGGTTAGGTTCGGTCATATATCTACGTACGTTAATTTTAACTCCAATAAAAAAAATTGACCTCAAACATTATGAAATGGGTAGCTTTATCATTTCATAAGAAAAAAATTAGAGAAAATATATTAATTCAGGAAAACTTGGCTTATTAGGCAAATCGGGCCTTGCATAGTAGGCTGAGAAGTGCGTTCTGGCTACTAGGTACGACATATGTATATATATATATATGTATATATATATATGTATATATATATTAGTATATTTTGGTAGCAGTCTTTCCTGTAGACATATTATTAAATATGACCGAAAAAGTAAGATTAATAATTCTAACACGAATTTTCTCAATCTTTTGTACATTTCTTTTCACTGGTGGTGGTAATTCAAAAATCAATTCTCCAAAATTCATTTTTATTTCTAGTCTGACGCGACACTTGAGCGCGTTTCGTAAAACTTATTACATTTTCAAAGACTTTAGTTTACACATACACAACTGAATAGAACTTACACATCTCCGATTTGTTTATATCTACATTTGAGTGAGGTGGATAGGGTGAGGTGGTATTAATAGGGTATTAAATTCATCAACACAAGACAGAACACGAAACAATGGGTATTTAAATGGAAGTGATTGTAGAAAGCCTATTGGTCCATATTTCTTGATGCTTCTATATTGGAGCGGAGTCTTGAGGTGGGTAGAATATAGTTGTGCATTAATTGGCTGTTGATTGCTGGTGTTGACTTCTTAATGTGTAGTGCCTCGCAAACGTCAAGCCGCCTGCTATCGCTGTATCTATCGATGATTTCTGTGTTGTTTACTAGGATTTCTCTGGCGATGGTTTGGTTGTGGGAAGAGATTATATGTTCCTTAATGGAGCCCTGTTGTTTATGCATCGTTAAACGCCTAGAAAGAGATGTTGTTGTCTTGCCTATATACTGGGTTTTTTGGAGCTTACAGTCCCCAAGTGGGCATTTGAAGGCATAGACGACGTTGGTCTCTTTTAAAGCGTTCTGCTTTGTGTCTGGAGAGTTTCTCATGAGTAGGCTGGCCGTTTTTCTGGTTTTATAGTAAATCGTCAGTTGTATCCTCTGGCACAAAGTTGTATCCTCTCCAGACACAAAGCAGAACGCTTTAAAAGAGACCAACGTCGTCTATGCCTTCAAATACCCACTTGGGGACTGTAAGCTCCAAAAAACCCAGTATATAGGCAAGACAACATCTCTTTCTAGGCATTTAACGATGCATAAACAACAGGGCTCCATTAAGGAACATATAATCTCTTCCCACAACCAAACCATCGCCAGAGAAATCCTAGTAAACAACACAGAAATCATCGATAGATACAGCGATAGCAGGCGGCTTGACGTTTGCGAGGCACAACACATTAAGAAGTCAACACCAGCAATCAACAGCCAATTAATGCACAACTCTATTTTCTACCCACCTCAAGACTCCGCTCCAATATAGAAGCATCAAGAAATATGGACCAATAGGCTTTCTACAATCACTTCCATTTAAATACCCATTGTTTCGTGTTCTGTCTTGTGTTGATGAAATTAATACCCTATTAATGCCACCTCACCCCATCCACCTCACTCAAATGTAGATATAAACAAAATCGGAGATGTGTAAGTTCTATTCAGTTGTGTATTTGTAAACTAAAGTCTTTGAAAATGTAATAAGTTTTACGAAATGCGCTCAAGTGTCGCGTCAGACTAGAAATAAAAATGAATTTTGGAGAATTGATTTTTGAATTACCTCCAACAGTGAAAAGAAATGTACGAAAGATTGAGAAAATTCGTGTTAGAATTATTAATCTTACTTTTTCGGTCATATTTAACAATATATATATATATATATATATGTATGTCGTACCTAGTAGCCAGAACGCACTTCTCAGCCTACTATGCAAGGCCCGACTTGCCTAATAAGCCAAGTTTTTATGAATTAATTGTTTTTTGACTACCTAACCTACCTAACCTAACCTAACCTATCTTTTTCACCTACCTAACCTAACCTAACCTATAAAGATAGATTACGTTAGGTTAGGTAGGGTTGGTTAGGTTCGGTCATATATCTACGTTAATTTTAACTCCAATAAAAAAAATTGACCTCATACATAATGAAATGGGTAGCTCTATCATTTCATTAGAAAAAAATTAGAGAAAATATATTAATTTGTGAAAACTTTGCTTATTAGGCAAATCTGGCCTTGCATAGTAGGCTGAGAAGTGAGTTCTGGCTACTAGGTACGACATACATATATATATATATATATATATATATATATATATATATATATATATGTCGTACCTAGTAGCCAGAACTCACTTTTTGGCCTACTATTCAAGGCCCGATTTGCCTAATAAGCCAAGTTTTCCTTATATATATATATATATATATATATATATATATATATATATATATATATATATATATATATATATATATATATATATATATATATATATATATATATATAATTATATAATATACAGTGGTACTACGGAATACAAGTGTCCCTGAATACGAGTTTTTCAGAATACGAGCAGGATTTCCTCAGAAAATGTGTCTCGGAAGGCGAGGGTTACCTCGGAACACGAGTTTGTTGGTACGTGTACAGGCCGACTAGCACATGGTGGCACGGCGATCGCGCCTCAGTTTACCAGTGTCTCGCACCCAGTGACTATCCCACCTGAATTCTTCACAAGGATTTACATTTTTTTGTTGTTTTTTTTGCCAGTTGAGCATAAAAGTTGTCATTATATATCTCACCATGGGTCTCAAGAAAGCCATTGGTAAGATTCAACCTAAGAAAATAGCTGTGAGTAGAGGCAGTAGAGGATGTCTCTTCTTGATTAAGAAAATGTGTGAAGTATGGGAAGAACTGCAAAGTTTTGTTGAAAAAACTCGCCCAGATAAAGCTGTAGCAGGCCGTTGCATTAACCTTTTAAATGACAATGTGATGTCTTACTACAGACAAGTGTTAAAATGTAGGAAAAAACAAGTGTCTTTAGACAGATTCTTAGTAAGACAAGTAAGTCCTAGTGGTATGCAGGCAAAATATGCCAGAGTGTGCATACCAGTGAAGTCCTCACTGCCTGATGTTATAATGCAAGGGGACTCCCCTTCCAAACAGTAACACCTCTCCTCCTCCCTCCTCCTCACATCTTCCATACACCAACAGCAGTCCTCAACAAGGGTAAGTAATAACTTGAACATAGTTTTGTAGGTTTATTTAGATAAATTAGGTATAAAATTTAGTTTGATGTGGGGTTTTTGGGGGAGTCAGGAACGGATTAATTCATTTCCCATTATTTCTTATGGGGAAATTAGCTTCAGAATACGAGTTTTCGGAATACGAACTGTCTCCAGGAACGGATTAAACTCTTAAACCGAGGTACCCCTGTATATATATATAGTGGCACCTCGACTTACGATTGCCCCTACTTACAATAATTTCGAGTTACGATGTAAATTTCATAAAAAAATGCGACTCGACATCCGATGGTGTCGTTGACTAATGATATTTGATGGTACACGTTCGGGTCGACCGAGCGTGTGGTTCCCGGTCACGCGGCCGCCCTGCCTCAGTTTACTACAGCTGCCCGCTTAGTGACGATCGCGCCTATAAAAATTTAGCTTTTGTGGTGATTTTTTTTGCATTTTGAACATTAAAGTAATTATTATATATCACGCCATGAGTCCCAGGAAAGTCAGTGTTAAGGCTCAACATATGAGATCCCATGTAAGGATGACCATAGAGCAGAAACAAGAGATCATTCGTAAATATGAAGATGGTGTGCGGGTTGTTAGACTGGCTAGGCAGTACAACAAATCTCAGTCAATGATATCCACCATACTGGCTAAGAAAAAGGACATTATGGGTGCTAAAGTGATGCATCATTACAGACAAATGTTAAAACGAAGGGAAAAAGAAATGTCTCTTGACAAATTTGTAGTGAGACAAACAAGCACTGAACCACAACCAGGTCCTAGTGGTATTCAGGCAAAACGTAGGAGAGAGAGAGTACCCCAGAGAAAACATCACTGCCTGATGTGATAATGGAAGGGGACTCCCCTTCCAAACAGTAACAACTCTCCTCCCCCCTCATCACCATTTTCCGTACGCCATCAAGAACCCTCCATAAAGGTAAGAGAAACTTTGGTACTGTATTGTAGTTAGAAAAAAACATTGTATTCAGTATAAAATGTATTTGTATGTTAATATTTTGGAGGGTGGGGAACGGATTAATTCAAATCCCTTTATTTCTTATGGGAAAAATCGCTTCGACTTACGATATTTCGACTTACGATCCATCTCTGGGAACGGATTAGCATCGTAAGTCGAGGCCCCATTGTATATAATACACACACACCGCTTTTATCACCTTTATCCACAATCGACTTGAGAATGGTCCAGGACGGACAGAACGTCGTCGTCCCTTCACTTTCTATTGTGTGATCTGGTCAACATATTTCAGCCACGTTATTGTGACTCATCATCTGCAATTTATTTTTGGCGCACTACGGGAATGTCATTATAAATGGTGCGCAGTGCAGGGGGGTTAATCCTAATTTTCCCCGGAATACAACCTGCCAAATCATTTAACAAGAAGGAGGGCATTTTACTGTTGGGTAAACAGAGGCTACAGTTAAGGATTGACGCTCAGTAAATCCTCCCCGGCCAGGATACGAACCCAGGACAAAGTGCTCGCAAAAATGCCGGGAGAGTGTTACAACTACACCACAGTGACTGCTAGTCTCCTTAGAAATAATTGCTCAAATGCCTGTAGTGTCTGTACTTAATACATAGCTACAAATGCACAGTTCCAAGTGTGAGCTTATTGTCATAAGATTTCTCTTTACAGGATTGCAATTGATTCTGGTTTAGACTGAGTAATGGGAAAACTCCTTTCCCAAGTGGATACTGAAGCATCAGTATCTCCCATGATGAATATCTTGACAGGTTAGTGATTTTTTAATTGCATGTACTGAACTGTATTATAGTCAAGCATAAATAGTAAAACTGAGGCTGTTTTGTCATGTTTATATATTTTTGCAAGATTTCCTCACATTATACCAAATGCCTCATGCATGATATTGACAAATGTGCAACACTTCTGTTTGATAATAAGTCAAGTTCCTATTGGAATTAACGTAACCCAGTTGTGGTCATTTCTGTACGAGCTCGGCCACCGTAGCTTCCCTAACTCTGACACTTCCACAGGGCAAAACCGTCAGTAGTTTCAAAGCATTGTACGATAGAGAGTACTGGGAAGACCGGACATGACGAGCGTTACTCCCATTCTGTAACTATTCTTGGCTAATTACACAGCCGCACGTTAGACCTCATGAAGACAAGCACTACCTGTCAGGCTCTGTATGACTCAAGGACCACCATGTATGTTTCTGGGGGGAGCCCCTACTGCTTCCCGCAGCTAACCGGGCTGATGTGAATGTATTAGACCCTGGCATCAGTCTTAGCAAATGGAGATCTAGGCCTACAAGGGACCATAAATCAGAACCTGGCCTCCTAAGAGGGGCACGTAGAGCAATGGCCTATAGAAACCCCCCGTGTGGTTGAAAGCATTCTATGTCTGTCATCGACCGGGTCAGGCACCCAAAAAGGTAAGTGCCCCAAAACAAACCCCCTATTCTGGTGAAAACATTGTTGCAAAAAGCCGAACGAGTGGACAGAACTCCCTAAGTGAAAACAAGCAAACTAGCATGACGTCACCACGTTGCTGTGTCGCTGTTTGTGCAAACCCCCCCCCCCCCTACCTCCCTGGGAGTGGAAAGGGGGAGCCCCAGACCTTCACACTGGCTACCCACCCTTCAGTTCTTGGCTGATGTGATACTGGCAAGGTTATGTGCCTCTGGCTCCAGCAAATTGTTTCGGTTTTGTGCCTTGTGGTGTGGTGCTGTCTCTACAGCGCCTGACACCTGGGTGGACAGCGCTTCGGATTCGTAGTCCTGAGGTTCCGGGTTCAATCCCCGGTGGGATGTTTCTTTCACCCTGGTGCCCCTGTTACCTAGCAGTAAATAGGTACCTGGGAGTTAGACAGCTGCTATGGGCTGCTTTCTGGGGGTGTGTAACAAAAAGAAGGCCTGGTTGAGGACGCTAAGCCCCGAAATCCTCTCAAGATAACTTGAAGATAACGGTCGGTGCGTGAGCCAGGAGTAATTTCTTCAGTACTCTGGCAGCATGCGCCTAAGGGGTTTCCTTCCCCTAGGTGCCCTGTAACTAGTGCCCTTAAGTTTTGGGGCCTCCTTCCATAAGTCGCCTTGGGGTCTACCTCCGTTGTGTCTTTTGCTGCTCGGTGATTGACCACCCTTGGAGTCAGCTGGGGTTTGTGTGTTTCCCTATTTGTCTCTGGGTAGTGGGTAGTTTTTGTCACTGGTAGGGGTGCAGGGTACTGTGCAGCTTGTTATCACCTCACATAGCGGCCGACTCTGTTCCGCCTGGGTTTTTCTTTTTGTCTAGCTGCCTGGTGGGGGCTCTGCCACTTGGTTGGTCATACCTTATTGTTACTTGGTAACAATAAGGTATGAGACCCCGCGAGTATACATGTCCCGTGGGTTCAGCTTTAACAGTTTGCTTGGTAGTTTTGGGCGCCAGTTAGCAGTACCCTGCCTGGGCTTCGCTTTTGTGGAATACCACAACTAAGGGCCCTGGGAAACCCTGCAGGGGCTCTGCGGTCCAATGAATGCGACCCCTGTGTCCCCTCTCGCTTCGTGTGAATCGGAAGGTTGTTCTGTCCCCCTGTCGCTGGGAGACAATCACCGGTTGTGCCTCTGCCATGCTGCCTGTGGGGTTGGTAGCACTTTCGACCCCGAGTCGTGCGAGTTTTGTTGCTTGTATGTGCTCCAGTTCACCCAATCTACTGATCATGATATGTGGTTGCAGGCAGCTTCAGTATTGCGTGCTAGGTTTTGAGTGCTGCAACATGATAGGTTGGTTGCTTCCCCGGATGCACTGAGATTGCCCCATTTTGGTTATAGGGACTCGGACTTGGGGGGTGGGAGTCGCTTTGACTTTGGTGCTGTCTGCACCCTCCTGTCCTTCCTGGTTGATACCTGATTGATGGGGTTCTGGGAGTTCTTTTACTCCCCAAGCCCGGCCCGAGGCCAGGCTTGACTTGTGAGAGTTTGTTCCACTAGGCTGTTGCTTGGAGCGGCCCACAGGGCCACATACCCACCACAGCCCAGTTGGTCCGGCACTCCTTGGAGGAATAAATCTAGTTTCCTCTTGAAAATGTCCATGGTTGTTCCGGCAATATTTCTTATGCTTGCTGGGAGGGTGTTGAACAACCATGGACCTCTGATGTTTTTACAATGTTCTCTGATTGTGCCTATGACACCCCTGCTTTTCACTGGTTCTATTCTGCATTTTCTTCCATATCGTTCACTCCAGTACGTTGTTATTTTACTGTGTAGATTTGGTACTTGGCCCTCCAGTATCTTCCAGGTGTATATTATTTGATATCTCTCTCGTCTTCTTTCTAGTGAGTACATTTGGAAGGCTTTGAGACGATCCCAATAATTTAGGTGCTTTATCGCGTTTATGCGTGCTGTATATGTTCTCTGTATTCCCTCTATTTCAGCAATCTCACCTACTCTGAAGGGGGAAGTGAGTACTGAGCAGTACTCAAGATGGGACAACACAAGTGTCTTGAAGAGGACAACCATTGTGATGGGATCCCTGGATTTGAAAGTTCTCGTAATTCATCCTATCATTTTTCTGGCTGTCGCAATATTTGCTTGGTTATGCTCCTTAAACGTTAGGTCGTCTTCGGTAATGTCTTGGGCTGACATTCGGGCACAGGATTTTAGAGGTCGGACAGGGTCATGGCCGCTCGCTACCTTGTCAATGTTCCTTGGCCTTGTAGAGCCTGTGTCGCATTGGGTCGGCGGTTGCAGCCAGTTGTCTCAACTTAGGGTTGAGGAGTGTGGACCGATCATCTCCTGGGTAAGTCCCCATTTTTGTTTTTGTCTTTGGGTAGTTAGCTCAGGGGAGCCAATGGGGCTTCCCCCAGAAAACCTGCGTTGAATGTAATGAAACTCCATTTTCTGGGTGAGACCCGGAGGCTCCCTGGAAACCCTCTCTTCCTCCGGTCGGCAGTTTTTGCGTATTTTAACATTTTGCCCTAAGAACTGAAGGGTGGGTAGCCAGCGTGAAGGTCTGGGGCTCCCCCCCTTCCCCCTCCTGGAGAGGGGGGGGGGTTGCACAGCTAGCAGCGTGGCAGTGTGGTGATATCATGCTAGGTTGCTTGTTTTCATTTGGGGAGTTCTGTCCACTTGTTCGGTTCTTTGTAACAATGTTTTCACCAGAATAGGGGTTTGTTTTGGGGCGCTTATTTTTCTGGGTGCCTGACCCGGTTGATGGTAGACATAGGATGCTTCCAATCACATGGGGGTTTCTATGGACGATTGCTCCTCGTGCCTCACTAAGGGGGCCAGGTTCTGGCTCGTGGTCCCCGGTAGACCTTGAACGCCATGCACATTGACTGATACCAGAAATCTGATATATCCATATCAGCCTGCATAGCTCCAGGGAGCCTCCGGGTCTCACCCAGAAAATGGCATTTCATTACATTCAACGCTGTTTTTTTTTCACATTTTGACATTTAGCCTCGGAACTGGTGTGTGGATAACTGGGGTTCCCCCCTACCCCCCTCTCGGTGATTGGGGAGCTGTGGAGACAAGCGATGTGGCGACATATGCTCGTTTGCTCGTTTTCATTTGGGGGTAGTTATGTCCAGTAGTTCAGCTTTCTGTAGCAATTTCTTAACCAGAATAGGGGTTTGTTTTGGGGCTCATACCTTTCTGGGTGCCTGACCTGGTTGATGGCAGACATAGAATGCTTCCAACCACATGTGGGTTTCTATAGGCCATTGCTCCTTGTGCCTCTCTGAGGGGGCCCAGGCTCTGGCTCGTGGTCCCCGGTAGGTCTAGAACTCCATACACTTGACTGATGCTAGGGTCTAATATATTCATATCAGCCCGGTTAGCTCGAGGGAGCCTCTGGGTCTCACCCAGAGAATGGCATTTCAATACATTCAACGCTGATTTTTTAACTAGTCCCCATTCTAGCATAAAGGAAGTGGGTAGCTCATTAAAAATTGTAATAAGAGAACCTGAGATAGATGCTCTAGAACACATTAGGAAAAATGTATCGAGCAAGTTCTCAAAACGAGCTGCGGAAGGAGAGCTCCTACTTAGCCTGTAGTGAAAAGTTCAAGTCGGTTTTTTGTTTTTCTACTTTCCAGTGTAAACAAACAAAATCCTAACTATTGTTAATTGATCTTACAGAAAAAAAGAAAAAGAGGAAAAAGAAAGGAAAGGAACAAGTTGAAGAATCTGCAGTACAAGAGGTTACATCTATGGAATCTGCAGGAAGTAAGTATAAAGTGGAACCTTGCTAGTCAAAGTTAATTGGGTCCAGAAGGCCATTTGAGTGCCGATATGTTCGAGTACCGAATAATTTTTTCCTATAAGGAATAACGTAAATTGGATTAATCAATTCTAGATCACAAAAAAACATCCATATGAGAGCAGTAAAAAAATGAAATAAATGCAAATATATTCTCACTTTACCAGCACTTAGGAGAATTGATGGAGTATGTGGAAGGTGGCAAGGAAGGAGACGTTATTGTTTGACTGGGGAGTCCCCCTATCATAAAAACTTCAAGTAATTGTGCTTCTGGGGTTCTTTCTCCTTTTTATCATTTTCTATTTCCCTCTTGAGATTCACTGAATGCTTTTCCACCAAGAAATTTATCCAATGATATTTGTTGCGAGAACGGACACACAGGCACCACTTTAATATTTTACTACAAGTTTTTTTTTCATTTCTATCGTGGTTCTGACTAATTTTCTTTTTATTTGGCTCATTAGTCGAGCCTGGCCCAGGCTGGGCTTGGGGAGTAGAGGAACTCTGAAACCCTCTCAGGTATGCTCCGTGTATCACCAACTTTGTTAGGTGCCATGGTGACTTATTTATGATAAGAATATAGAAAATATCAAAGAAAACAAAGTGTATAGAGAAGTTTAATGGGGTATGTACTGAATGACAGCTACTGGGAAACTGGTTCGTCCATTATGTGTGTATATTTGTGCCGAGCACACAGGCGCGACCGAACACGAACACAGTGTATGAGTCCTGAATTGTTCGAGTTGGAAGCCGTTCGAGTACTGAAGTTCATCTGTCTTTGATATACAAATTTGCATGAATACCATGATATTGGAAGCCAGTCCAAGTTTTACATATAACCTCCCCATCCCCCCACCCCCCCACCCCTGTCTTGTGGATTCAGTGGAATCCCAGGTTGTATAACTTATACCATGTCATGATCCAGAGACAAGGTGCACAACTTGGGAATACAGACGTCGAGGGTCCGAATCCTCCGCATTGTTACAACTTATTTTCAGATTGAATATTGATGAATTACTGTATATATTATGCTTTTTTTCTCTATAAGCTGTGTTCTCAAGTTGAAGATTTCATTGCCTAAAATGCCATATATTTTTGTATTATACAGTACTATAATACAAATTTCACCTTTTAATAAACTTTCAGTGTCCCCAAAAAAGAAGAAGAAAAAGAAGAAAGATATCAAAAGTCAGCATGAAATTTTAGAAGTTGTAACAGAAAAACCAAAGAAAGAAAAGAAGAAAAAGAAAAACAAGAAGCTGGATGAAGATCAAAATGAAGTGAGTGTACACAGCAGCAACAGCAGCAGAATGAGCAAAGACGACTTGGTGAGTGTAATTGTACAGTTGTGCTTACCTATTGGTGAACACAGGGCTACACTCAAGCTCTTGATGCTCACTTTCCTAGCTTTTTAGACCAACAAATTAAAACAAATATCTAGTCCTAATTTAATTGTATTTGCCCCCTTGAAGTTGTGGGTGAATGTGGTTTTGCTGGCTGCTTCTTTCGGTGCACTTTGTGTTCCTTGTTGACAACCTGTAAAGAGAAAAGCAATAAAGATGGCACAATGAAATCACAAGTGAGTGATGTAAATGAATGGGAAAATTTGGAGGCCATATCATGGGTTCAAACCTGCACCTCTGGACTTCCCAGACACACACAAAAGTAAAAGCTAAGATTGCTCATGCTGGCTTGGGAGAGGTAAAAGCAGACGCTGGATAAAATTGAATCACGCTGGCTGCTCATGGAGAAGACAAGTGGTTTTCATATGGAAATGAGCCTCTCTGAGCAACCTAACAGTATTAGGTTTGTAAGGTGTGTTTAGAAGCACCCAGACAGCAAGCATGTTCTGTAATAGTATGCAAGGAGGAGTTGTCAGATTATAGAGGTTTAGATCTCTGCTTAACTCCTCTATAGAAGCATTATAGTTACCCAAATCCACCACAGCCTCCAAGTAGTATGAACTATAACACCGTGGCTTCAATTTGACCAACGACTTGGATCGGACGTTAGAGTGGTGGTCTTGCTACTTGCAGGTTGATATTTAATCCTGCCTGTCCAAGTAGTTGGGCACCATTCCTTTCCTTCATCTTATCCTAAATCCTTATCCTCATATTGCTTCCAAGTGTTATAGTCATAATTGCTTAATACTTTCTTCTGGTAATTACCTTCCCTTAAAAAGAGCCAATCACCAAAAGTGATTTGGTGCCAATGTTTATTTCCACAATAGTATGGTTGACAATTTATATGGCATGGGCATGAATCACTAATTCCTATGTGCTTTAGAGGGAGGTTGGGAAAGTATAATATCTCAGTTGGGCAGGGGGTTTCCTGCCTCTTGAGATCTTTTCAATTAGGCCTCCCAATAGCTCGGTGGAAGAGCTTCCGCCTCACACTGTGGGGTCGGCAGTTCAAGTCTCCTATTGCCTAAGTGAAGGAAATTAAATACCTTGCCTTACATTACCTCTTACTGTATGTACTTAGAGCCACACCTGATATTCTTGGCAAATTCCAAATTGTTTTGGGGTGTTTGCTGCTATATTTTCTGACAAAACAAATATTTTGCAATAGAGGGAGTGTTCTTGCTTAGTTGTGCTTGCAGGGGTTGAGCTTTGGCTCTTTGGTCCCACCTTTCAACTGTCAATCAACTGACTATTGTGTAATAAATATCTAATTTGGATTTAGTCCCATGTTCTGTGAGTTTCAGGACACTGGTGGTCAAATGGTTGGACAATGACTAATTGTTTAACAGAGTCTATGCAGGCAGTAAAGGGGCTCTTTATTTTCTAGCTCAGATGTTTTGCCTGCCTTGAGGAGAAATGTGAGCGAAGATAGGTAATAATCGTTTAATTTTATGTTCTATCCTTCTAACACCACACACATGCTTCTTAGATAGTTCATTTCTACTGCTCTGACTCTTAATTGTTCATATAACACCATCCATACTGCACCATCTGTATTGCAACCATTCATACTGCACCATCCATACTGCACCATCCATACTGCACCATCTCTCCACCTCCATAATCACATTTTTCTGTGGGGAGCCCCGTCGGCACCCTGAAGCTATCCGAAATGATATGTGCTATGCAATATTAGTTTTGGAGTCCAGTCACAGGAGTCCTTTTGCCTCCGAAGGACCACAAGCCAGAACCTGGTGTCCTCAGAGAAGTGCAGGGAGCAATGGCCTATGATCACTTTACATTTAAAATGTCATAATTGCCATCAACCGGGAAAGGACCCAGAAAGGTAGGCAGATCAAAACAGACCACTGACTGGTTAACCTGTGCAATCTACAGCCTAATAGATCAAAATAACTCCTCTAGAAAGAAACCCAACAAGCAACACTTCATGCAGCTAGCACTCTCCCTCATTAGCGCTACACAGAAGGGGGGGGGGAGTGGGGAACTGACAACCCATCACCCAGTTCTTGAACTGATGTGCTGGTAGGAACAACCATGGACATCTTCAAGAGGAAACTAGACTGTTTTCTAAAAAATGTGCTGGACCAACTGGGCTGTGGTGGGTATGTGGGCGTGCGGGCCGCTCCAAACAACAGCCTGGTGGACCAAGCTCTCACAAGTCAAGCCTGGCCTCAGACCAGACTTGGGGAGTAGAAGAACACCCAGAACCCCATCAAGTAGGTATCAAGCAGTCAGGCAGTCACCCCTGGCCTCAAGTTCCTGTTCTGGATTTTTGTCCTGTGTGGCTGTTCCAGCTGTGTGTGTGTCTTAGTGTACAAGTGCAGCATGTACTTAGGTCACCCTTCACTATGTACTCTGTAAGTACAGTGTCACCTTGACTTATGATTGCCCCGACTTACGATAATTTCGAGTTACGATGTAAATTTGATAAAAAAATGCAACTCTACTTACGATAGTGTCATCGACTAACGATATATGTTGGTACACGTTTGGGTCAACCGAGCACGTGGTTCCCGGTCACGCGGGCCGACCTGCCTCAGTTTACTACAGCTGCCCGCTTAGTGTCGATCACGCCTATAAGAAATTCCGTTTTTGTGGTGATTTTTTGCTTTTTGAACATAAAACTGATTATTATATATCATGCCATGGGTCCCAGGAAAGTCAGTGGTAAGGTTCAACATATGAAAACCCATGTAAGGATGACCATAGAGCAAACACAAGAGATCATTCGTAAATATGAAGAGGGTGTGCGGGTTGTTGAACAAGCTAGGCAGTACAACAAAGCTCAGTCAACGATATCCACCATACTTGCTAAGAAAAAAGCAGGCAAAACGTAGGAGAGTGTACCCCAGAGAAGTCATCACTGCCTAATGTTATAATGGAAGGGGACTCCCCTTCCAAACAGTAACACCTCTCCTTCCCCCTCCTCACCATCTTCCATACACATCAAGAGTCCTCCATAAAGGTAAGATAAACATATGTACTGTATTTAATTAGAGAAAATTTTTTTATTCAGTAGAAAATGTATTTTTAAGTTAATATTTTTAGGGGTGTGAAACGGATTAATCCAATTCCCTTTATTTCTTACGGGAAAAATCGCTTTGACTTACGATATTTCGACTTACGGTACGTCTGTAGGAACGGATTACCATCGTAAATCGAGGCTCCACTGTACTACCCTTGCGTGTCAGGGTTATCTTTCCTGAGAAGTTCGGGAATCGCTCCCCATTTGAGGACTTTGTCGCTTGTCGTTTTCTTCGCCCTGGGGGTACGTCGGAGGTCTGGGGCTTTCTATCTTGCCCCAGGTATGGGCGTGTTATTGGCTGGAAAGGGTGCACTGTGGCCGGTGCAGCTCACTTTACTTTAACACAGCGGTTGATGTTTCTCTTTGGTTGCCAGTTTGTTTTTGTCTTTGGGGGTTTTGGTTTTTCTTTTCTGGCATTTTTCCGTGGTTCCGCTTCTTTCATCAGGCCGGTCTAGTGAGGTACCTCGCTTGTTCGCCTTACTGCTCCTCACTATGCATCTGGTTTGCCTTACTGCTCCTCACTATGTGTCTGGTATTTCTGATGTGTATATATCACCATTTGTATGGTGATCAGATGGCTTCTTTGATGGTGTCCCACCTGCGGTCTTTTACTTAGGGACAGTGTAAAGTTTCCTAATGGTCTTTCTGTCATTTTCTTTCTCTTTGTCGCTTTTGGACCAGGTTATTTTGCCCTTTTTCATTGCTTTTTCTGGATCGGCATATCGTGCCTAGTACTGTCGCTTCTTATCGTGCAGCATTGTCAGAGCCACTGCAGCTTTCATTTGGTGTGGATGTCACTTCCACTCCATTCCGCAAGCGCTCTCGTGCTTTTTTTCACCTCTGCCCTGCTCTTGTGCTGCCAGAGCCTTCTTGGTTTTTGGACCGGGTTCTTTCCTTTCCTTTCTTCTTCTCGCTTTGTGGTGGCACTTTCTGTTTGGAATTGCTTTTGGAAAGCCTTGTTTTTGTTGGCCTTGGCCTCTGGGGGTTTGGTTGGGGAGCTTCATGCTCCTCTCTGATGCTGGGAATTCTGTTCATTTACAGGTTTCTCCTCCTTTTCTGGTAAAGTATGAGACGGCTGGCTTTTGGAGGGGTCCTTTGGTTGTTGATGCTTGGACGGTTAGGCTGCGGGTGCATCGTGTTTTGTGTTCGGTGGTGGCTTTACGCCGCTACCTGCGGGCCACTAGTTTGGTGAGGGTGGACGCTCTCTGGGTGAATCTGGTTTCCCTGGTTTCCTGTTCCCAGGCTCGTGTCTCAGGTTGTCTGCAGTGTCATTCAGTCTAGCCAGCCTGTTGTTCACCCTTGTGTCTGTGATGTTCAGAAGTATGCTGCTCTTGCGACAGTTTTTGGGTCGCCATTCAGGTGTGGGGGTTTTGGAGATCTTACAAGGTTCTGGCCGCCTGGTATCTCGTGAATGTTCCAGTTCCTTCACGACCTTGTGTGGCCTTGTGTCACATGTTGCGGCTGTCTGTATCTTTTCCAAAGGATACCTGATCAACCAGGCTGTAACTCATACGTCAGGCTGCGAGTAGCCGCATCCAACAGCCTGGTTGATCAGTCCTGCAATCAGGAGGCCTGGTCGACGACCGGGCCGCAGGGACGCTAAGCCCCGGAAGCACCTCAAGGTAACCTCAAGGTTCCCTGTCTTGAAGTCTGTGGTGCTGCCGGGTAAGTCCCTATTTTTACTTATCTTTGGATTTTTGTTTTTGTTTTAAATAGATATATACAAGAGTTGTTACATTCTTGTATAGACACTAGTATGCATAGCGTTTCGGCAAGTTCTAAATCCTATGTTCCCTGGAATGTGACCCCCACGAAGACTCGTTTTTACAACCAGGTACCCATTTTACTGTTGAATTAAACAGAGGCTACAGTTAAGGATTTGCGCCCAGTAAATCCTCCTCAGCCAGGATACTAACCCATGACAAAGCGCTCGTGGAACGCCACGCGAGCGTCTTAACCACTACACCACGGAGACTGGTAATGTTACTATCAGTTAGCTTCAGGGAGCTGACAGGGGCTCCCCACAGAAAACCAGCGTTGAATGTAATGAAACAGCATTTTTTGGATGAGCCCTGGAGGCTACCTGACACCTTCCCTCCCTCCGGTCGGTGGTTTTCATCGTTCAAGAACTGGGGTGGTGGCCTGCCAGCTCCCCCTCCCCCCCTTTGGTGTAGCGCTAACAAGTGGGAGTGCTAGTTGAATGAAGTGTTGCTCGTTTTGTTTTTTCCTAGGAGAGTTATTTTGATCTTTTAGGTTGTAGATTACACAGGTTAACCAGTCAGTGGTCTGTTTTGATTCGCCTACCTTTCTGGGTCCTTCCCCGGTCGATGGCAATTATGATATACTTTAAATGTAAAGTTCTCATAGGCCATTGCTCCCTGTGCCTCTGAGGGGGCCAGGTTTTGGCTCATGGTCCTTGGTAGGCAAAAGGATTCTTGTGACTGATGACCCCAAACTAATATACCTCATATCATTTCGGATAGTTTTAGGGAGCCTCGGGGCTCACCTAGAAAATGACATTTCATTACATTCAATGCCTAATTTATGGTGTTGAAAAGAAGGAAACTGTAGAACTTGATAAAAAAAAGACAACTGCATAGTAAATATATACAGTGAGTGTTGTTAATGCTTTCCTGAGATCGCTTTCTTGTGGTTGGACCCAGTCAACAATTGGGTTACATAGGGACAACATTGCCAATGTTTAGCATGCAATTGTCTGCTTTGGTGTGTTTTACTATTTTTAATGGTACAGTATTCTTCCTGGGTACTGTGGTGATTCTACATCCTCGGATATTTCTGTCTATTGAGGGGGCCAGATGTTGGTCTTGGGATCCAGTAGACACTCCATAATCAATGGAGTCCAGTAGAGTTCATTTCATTCAATGTTTGATCTTTCTCTACTTTGATGCCTAATGCCTGAGTTGCGTCATTTGAGGATCTCAATAGTTCTGTGTAGGTACGGTAATTGGAATTTTAACACACAGATCAAATCCTTCATGGGTCCTTAGACATTTTTACATCTATAGATATTGTGATTTGTTATGTGTATTACAATATCTATATAGAATTTGCAAATTACAATTTCAAATTACTGTCTCCACTCGATTATCCGGACTATATGGGAAGGACCCCCAGCTGGATATTCACGTGTTCCGGATAATGGTACTTTTTCACCTACGAGTCCAAAGGTGACCAATTCCAACTATTTTTATACTACAAGCAACATAATTTGAATTGCCTTGCCACATATAATTATTAAATATTCAACTAGAAACCTCAACTTACCTTGTTGGTGTTCGTCTTCTTGATTGATGCCACACATCTTGAAGTTAAGAATTCTTAACAATTTACGTAACCTATACTAACACAACACTAAAATTAACACTTAAAATTACTATACAGTTCATTAAGGAAAGTTAGTTTTGACTGCCAGCTGCTGAAGCCTCACTGGTTGAAGGCATTTAGGTTGCCTGTGAGGTCTCACTTGTTAAAGGCGCTTGCTTGTGCCTCACTTGTTGAAGGCATTTGGCTTGCCTGTGACGCCTCACTGGTTGAGGTGTATAACACGTAACTTTTCTTTAATTGTAAGGACAACCTTCTTCCTCTCAACACCTCCAGAACGATTGTTGCTACTACCATACATAGTCTTGGCCAAAAATGTTCAAAGTTGTACTGTATTGTGAAAATAAAAAAGTTACTGGTATTTAAAAAAAAAATCACTAATGGCGTGGCACTGTAACGCCGCACTGGTTGAGGCGTATAACACGTAACTTGTCTTTAATTATTAGGACAACCTTCTTCGTCTTAACACCTCTAGAACGATTGATGCTGCTACCAGACATAGTCTTGGCCAAAAATGTTCAAAGTTACTATGAAAATAAAAAAGTTATTTAAAAAAATATTTCACTAATGGCGCAGCACTGTGGTATAACACGAGGGTAGAGAGCACATGGCTTGACCAGTGTTGGACGGGTCCACTTGGGGCAGCTATAGCTCGTTACGTAGGCCGCTAGGAGGAAAAAAAACTCAAAATATATGTTTGAAGGAAACTTCAGCCTGTGCACATTGTTTTTAGGAAACTTATATATTTGTTATTACATAATTACTAATATTTCATTTGTTTTTGACTATGATGAATTGTTCTAAAACTAATAGTAATTCCTGTACCCAGGTGGTCCCTCCCAACGCTCCCTTCCCACCCACCCCACCCCCTCCTCCACCATGCGCCTCGAGCCAGCCAGCGACAGCCAGACGGGATTAATACGGTACGGCCTGCCCCATGGCTTTCATATCCGAACAATTCAATGATTATCCGGCTGACTGTCCGGATAGTGTAACATCGGCAGCAAGTTAACCGGCTCCGATTTTTTATCCGGCTCCCATGGCCATTTTGGCCGGATATTGAGAACTTTATCCGGTCATGATTTTCGCCGTATAAGGGCGTTTTCTGGATGTTCGAATCCCAGATAATCGAGTGGTTACAGTATATAGTATTGCAAATTACAATATCTTCAGAGATTGTAATTTGTTATAGTATATAATTGGCATTATATATACTACTGTATATATAATTGGCATAATATACATACCAGATATATAGTACTTACCGGGTATGTACAGTGGTACCCTCATTTTCAAATTTAATCCCTTCCCAGAGACGGCTCGTAAACCGAAAATTCACAAACCGAAACGAATTTTCCCCATAAGAAATAATTTAAATTCAATTAATCCATTCCACACTCCCCAAAAAATTAACTTTAAAATGCATTACATACATAATACAGTACATGTACTACAAATATTTTGTTCTACAGTACATTATGTACAAGTTATACATGTATCTTACTTTTATTGATGACTTTTAGCATATGGAAGACGGTGAGGAGGTGGGAAGGTGGAGGTGTGTAGTGTTTGGAAGGGGTGTCCCTTTCCATTATAACATCAGACAGTGATGACTTCTCTGGGGTCCGCTCTCGCCTACGTTTTGCCTGCATACCACTAGGACCTGGTTGTGGTTCACTGCTTGTTTGTCTCACTCAGAACCTTTCCACAGAGACTTGTTTTTCCCTACATTTTAACACTTGTCTGTAGTGAGATATCACATTGTCATTAAAAAGGTCAATACAACACCCCTGCAACAACAGCTTTATCTGGGCGAGTCTTTTCAGCAAAACTTTGCAATTCTTCCCATACTTCTCACATTTTTTAATGAGGAAGGGACATCCTCTACTGCCTCTACTCACAAATATTTTCTTAGGTTGAACCTTACCACTGACTTTCTTGGGACCCATGGCGTGATATATAATAATTGCTTTTATGTTCAAACCCCAAAAAACAGAAAAACTATGAAATTCTTTATGAAAAATTCAAGCACGCTAGGCGGGAGGCACTGGTAAACTGAAGCATGTCTCGCCTGTGCCAGGAACCATGCGCTTGGTCGACCCATGCATGTATCAACAAATTTGTCACCAAGCGAGGTAAAGGTCGCAAACCAATGCAAATTTTATGAAGAAATTGAGATCGTAACCCAAAAAATTTATAAAGAGGGAGAGTCGTCAACTTAGGTTCCCTGTACTGTATAGTGTACTGTAAACAGTGAATTAAAGAAAATCCACTCATGGATGTCAACCAACAAACTCTAAACATAGGAAAGGCTTATTCATTTTATTTGGAAGCAAATCATCAAACCAAATTCACCTTCAGATAGACAGTGTCAACATTAGCATTAGAAATGAGGGGAACGAATGTACATGTATATTATATATGCACTTATACATTTTTTTTTTTCAGAGTACATCAGCGGATGCCTCCTCTCCATCCAAATCTCCCAAAACAGCTGTGGAATCGTCTAATAAGAAGCGAATGCTAGAAAACAGCACACACAGCCCAGCAAAAAAGAGGAAGATGCAGAAAAGTACTGAAAGGTCCCGAAGCAAAACGGTGTCCATATCAGAGGATGTTAATGGTGGTGTTCTTGGTAAGTTTAGTAATGGTCAGCTCAAATGCTGAAAGCACTGACTATTAGTGGACACACAGCTCTTTGATATCTCTATTGTGTTAATCCTGTCTGTGTATATGGGCCAATAACATTAAAATGGTGCAGTCTGTTTTCTCACTGGTGGTTGGGGGGTCATTGTGTACTATCAGTCTTGTGATTATCCAAAATTCCACTTGTGGGCTGTGTTATTTTCCATTTCTATTTGCTAGCTTTTCTAGTACAACTTCGTCCTTGCTAGCTTATGAAAAAGTATTAATCACAGTAAAATTGTAATTTTAGCCATGTTGGGCACAAAAACTAAGAGGTCAAAAGGATGCGAGGTTGAATCTTCACACAACATCTTGGACCCACCGCTTTAACCAAGGAAGAGGAAAGGCAGACAGAAAGGTGAATGGGGTCCTCGTAATGATGAAAACAAAAATGGGGGAGACCAAATGATGGACCATAATACAAGACAGCTCTCGGCAACGTTGGGGCTAGCACACTTACTAGAACTGGAGAAGATTCAAAGGTTTGCCACCAGACTAGTACCAGAGCTGAGAGGTATGAGCTATGAGGAGAGACTGCGGGAGTTAAACTTCACATCGATGGAAGACAAAAGAATTAAGGAGGACATGATCACCACATACAAGATTCTCAAAGGAATCGATAGGGTAGATAAGGACATGCTATTTAACACAAGTGGCATACACACTAGGGGACACAGGTGGGAATTGAGTGCCCTAATGAGCCAGAGATATTAGAAAAAACTTTTTTAGTGTCAGAGTGGTTGACAAATGGAATGCATTAGGAAGTGATGTGGTGGAGGCAGACTCGTACACAGTTTCAAGTGTAGATATGATAGAGCCCAGTAGGCTCAGGAACCTGTACACACGCTTTCTAACTTCAGAATTGCTGTTAAATACATGGATGGCGATATACCAAAGAAATTGTTCACGACTTTTGTTAGGCCAAAGCTAGAATATGCAGCAGTTGTGTGGTGCCCGTATCTTAAGAAGCACATCAACAAACTGGAAAAGGTGCAAAGACATGCTACTAAGTGGCTCCCAGAACTGAAGGGCAAGAGCTACAAGGAGAGGTTAGAGGCATTAAATATGCCAAAACTTGAAGACAGAAGAAAAAGAGGTGATATGATCACTACATACAAAATAGTAACAGGGAATTGATAAAATCGATAGGGAAGATTTCCTTAGACCTGGAACTTTAAGAACAAGAGGTCATAGATTTAAACTAGCTAAACACAGATGCCAAAGAAATATAAGAAAACTCACTTTCGCAAACAGAGTGGTAGACGGTTGGAACAAGTTAGGTGAGGTGGTGGTGGAGGCCAAGACCGTCAGTAGTTTCAAAGCGTTATGACAAAGAGTGCTGGGAAGACGGGACACCACGAGCGCAGCTCTCATCCTGTAACTACACTTAGGTAATTACCAGTTGATTGACAGTTGAGAGGCAGGACCAAAGAGCCAAAGCTCAACCCCCGCAAGCACAAATAGGTGAAATAGGTGAGTACTTACCAGCTAGCCCAGCGTTTCTCAACTGCGGTTCCGTGGAACCCCTTGTGGGATATCTGGGGCTTGACTCATATATTCAATTATTTACTTATTTGATTTAATAAATCGAAGGACCACCCACTTTTGAGAAAAGAGGGAAAACTAATAAAAGTGATCATTAGAATAACACTAGAGAACCAGTGTCTATGGATAATTATTAAAAGGATAATCACTTGAAATAATGAATGGACTGTATTATTAATTAATTAAAGTCAGAGCCTCAAAGACCTACATTGGGGGGGTATTTCTAGAAATTCATATACATTTAGGAACCAGTGTGGTTCGCCACCAGTTCATTGCTGAGTAAATGATATTATAAATCTAAACTACTATAGATTCAAATATGAGAACTCAAATTGTGAATATTAAAGATCATGAATTACTGAGCAACAGTCAGAGCAAACACATCAATTACCAATCATCATTTCTGGCAATAATCTATTCAATGAAAGATTCTACAGGAATTATATAAGAATCAAAATCATATTAAATAAATTTGTACGAAAAATGTCTTAGCTTTAAGACGATTTCTGTAACATCATTTCGTCATTTAAGAAACAAATCTGTCCTCTGTGGTCACAGGATCTCCACAAACCCATACACACACACACACACTAAAAAATTTATATAAAAAAATTTATACCAAAACAGAGATGCAGAACTAGGAAACAGGATTGGTTCAAAGAACTCGAGGTGAATATTGCAGGTAAAGGATAATATTCAGAGGTTGAAAATGGGAAATAGATTCACGGAAGATGAAAAGGAAATGTGTGAAACACTAAACGAAAAGTTCCAAAGTGTGTTTGTACAAAATGAAATCTTTAGGGAACCAGATACAATAAGAATTCCAGAGAACAACATAGAACACATAAAGGTGTCTAGAGACGAATTGGAAAAAATGCTCAAGGAGCTCGGTAAGAACAAAGCAGCTGGCCCAGATGGCGTTTCACCATGGGTTCTGAGAGAATGTGCATCTGAGCTCAGCATTCCACTTCACCTGATCTTTCAGGCATCCCTGTGTACAGGAATCGTAGCAGACGGGTGGAAACAGGCTAACATAGTTCCAATCTACAAAAGTGGCAGCAGGGAAGACCCCCTCAATTATAGACCTGTATCATTGACAAGTGTAATAGTGAAAGTATTGGAAAAACTAATCAATCCTGATCCTGTGTATCGAATTTACTCAGTTTCTATGATCGAGCCACAGAGATATTACAGGAAAGAGATGGTTGGGTTGACTGCATCTATCTGGACCTAAAAAAGGCTTTCGACAGAGTTCCACATAAGAGGTTGTTCTGGAAACTGGAAAATATTGGAGGGGTGACAGGTAAGCTTCTATCATGGATGAAAAATTTTCTGACTGATAGAAAAATGAGGGCAGTAATCAGAGGCAATGTATCAGAATGGAGAAATGTCACAAGTGGAGTACCACAGGGTTCAGTTCTTGCACCAGTGATGTTTATTGTGTACATAAATGATCTACCAGTTGGTATACAGAATTATATGAACATGTTTGCTGATGATGCTAAGATAATAGGAAGGATAAGAAATTTAGATGACTGTCATGCCCTTCAAGAAGACCTGGACAAAATAAGTATATGGAGCACCACTTGGCAAATGGAATTTAATGTTAATAAATGTCATGTTATGGAATGTGGAATAGGAGAACATAGACCCCACACAACCTATATATTATGTGAGAAATCTTTAAAGAATTCTGATAAAGAAAGAGATCTAGGAGTGGTTCTAGATAGAAAACTATCACCTGAGGACCACATAAAGAATATTGTGCAAGGAGCCTATGCTATGCTTTCTAACTTCAGAATTGCATTTAAATACATGGATGGCGATATACTAAAGAAATTGTTCATGACTTTTGTTAGGCCAAAGCTAGAATATGCAGCTGTTGTGTGGTGCCCATATCTTAAGAAGCACATCAAAAAACTGGAAAAGGTGCAAAGACATGCTACTAAGTGGCTCCCAGAACTGAAGGGCAAGAGCTACGAGGAGAGGTTAGAAGCATTAAATATGCCAAAACTAGAAGACAGAAGAAAAAGAGGTGATATGATCACTACATACAAAATAGTTACAGGAATTGATAAAATCGACAGGGAAGACTTCCTGAGACCTGGAATTTCAAGAACAAGAGGTCATAGATTTAAACTAGCTAAACACAGATGCCGAAGAAATATAAGAAAATTCACCTTCGCAAATAGAGTGGTAGACGGTTGGAACAAGTTAAGTGAGAAGGTGGTGGAGGCCAAGACCGTCAGTAGTTTCAAAGCGTTATATGACAAAGAGTGCTGGGAAGACGGGACACCACGAGCGTAGCTCTCATCCTGTAACTACACTTAGGTAATTACACTTAGGTAATTACACACTCAAAGGTCACGTGGTTCATGGTTCACTTCAACACCCATATATCGCTTCCTGCCTGCCTGCCTCCTTCCCAGCCTGCAAGCCTGCCTGCCTGCTTGCCTTCTTCCCAGCCTGCAAGCCTGCCTGCCTGCTTGCCTCCTTCCCAGCCTGCAAGCCTGCCTGCCTGCTTGCCTCCTTCCCAGCCTGCAAGCCTGCCTGCCTGCTTGCCTCCTTCCCAGCCTGCAAGCCTGCCTGCCTCCTTCCCAGCCTGCAAGCCTGCCTGCCTCCTTCCCAGCCTGCAAGCCTGCCTGCCTCCTTCCCAGCCTGCAAGCCTGCCTGCCTGCCTGCCTCCTTCCCAGCCTGCAAGCCTGCCTGCCTGCCTGCCTCCTTCCCAGCCAGCCAGCCTGCTTCCTTTCCAGCCAACCTGCCTCACTCCCTGCCATCATGCTAACGGGTAGTCTGTGTTAGGCTTATCTTCGGGAATGAGCCGGTCTCACCCCCACCACCAACAAACCACCCGCCCCCCTACATCCCATCTCTCAAGGTCACGCGGTTGAACAACCGCGTGACTACCACTCACTCCCTGCTGCGCCTGCCTGCCTGCCTGCCTGTGCCTGCCTGCCTGTGCCTGCCTGCCTGTGCCTGCCAGCCTGCCTTTCCCTCCCTAATTCTCACTACTTCCATCCCTTCCTGCCTACCTCCTAGCATCTCTCCCTACCTCCCCCTCCCTCTTAGCATCTCTCCCTACCTCCCCCCCCCTCTTAGCATCTCTCCCTACCTCCTAACATCTCTCCCTACCTCCCCCTCCCTCCTAGCATCTCTCTCTCCCCCTCTCTCACTGATTCTCCCCCCCCCTCATTCATACTGCCTCCCATCTAAGCTCCATCGTCCATCCACCCACCAGTCAGCCATCACTGATGCAATGCGTGCATTTGGAGCCGACATGGTGCACAGATGTTTCTTGATTGTGCAGATATGTAAAACAAAAGCACAGAATGAACATTCCAGCCTTATGGCAATTCAGAATAATAGGAATAATAGGCCGTGAATCTGTGAAGTCACAGTGGGCAA